AACTCCAAAAAGACAGTCTAATTTTAACTCAAACTTGCTGGATTTGTAATAGCGAGAGATTCATGCCATGCTTCACATTTGACTATGAATTGGAATTTCTAATTGTTCCAACTTAGCAAGGCTGTTTAGGAGTTTGCTAAACTATTGAAAGGGAAAGGGAGTTTTTCATGCCACAGTCAGGACAATAAAGTTACAATACTGACTCTTTACTTTCTCAAATTTGACTCTATACAGTATGTACCAGAGTAAGACCAAGGATTGGGCCAGTAGATGAGGTGCTCCCTTGCCAGGGGTGATGCTTGGGTTTGAGTCTTACCTGTTGCGTGATGCAACTTCCTAGGGTAATATTTACATTATGTAATGGTTATTATAGCATTTTCTGTCAAATTTTTAACAAAAATTATTTTTAAGATTAAATTAAAAAAAAACTTAAAATCTAAAAAATTAAAATAAAAAAATGATTAAACATAAATGAGTAAAGTGTAATTTATCTAAATATATTTTTTGTTGTTTACTATTTAATTGGCAAAAATGGATGGTCATAATTCAACGGTCAAAAAAGGTTCCTTCCTCATTTATTTGATATCCTTCTATGTATTTTTTTCCACAATCCGTGTTCAATTTCCATGATCCATACTTCCCACACCAATTCCATTGAAAATTGGATCACCCATTGTTTTCAAAATCATAGCATCATTATTGTGTAACTTACATTTTATTAATTTTAAATTTATATTGTACACTAAAATTTTGAAATATTTTCCAGGTTAAAAATTCTAGATTTATACCATTTCCATTACCAAAAAATTATTACTAATTTAGAAGAAAATTATTCTTGAAAATAATATTCTGCACCAATTTGGCAAGCAGTAAGGTTGCCTTATCCAATATTTTTTTAAGGATTAATTTTTTTACATTTAATTTGGATTTTTTTGTTGGTGAATTTTTTTTAAAATTATATAAAATATTTTTACATTTTAAAACATGACTGCCAACCCTAATAGTTTTTAAGAATATTGAACTTAAACTTCCTTTATAAAACTTGGCAAAACAAAAAAAAAAAATCCTTTATAAAAGTTTGTTAATATTTTATAAAAAGAGAATGAAGTATTGACATATAACATTTACATAAAAAACCAAAATTTCGTCTATCTAATCCGTTTATCTAAATACACAATTGAATCATGACTGTTAAAATGTCCTAGTAGGACAATTGTCTCTAGGATAAATTCAAAAACCTTTCTTCCTTATTATATAGATTTACAGAGTTATATATGTTCTTTTACTGGTCAAGATGACAATCAAATTGCACGAAGGCCAAATGATGCCAGGGCCAGGAAATATCATTCTACTAACAACAAATCAAAGCAAAAAGATCATAAACTCACACGGCCTTTGGATTGGATACATCGAAGAAGTCTTTTGTATGGGGTTACAGGTTAACATATGTCCCTTTTGGGAGAGTCATATTTTTCACTCACACAATGTCTCCTTCTTGTAAGAGCAAATTCTCCATCATCTACAATGAAGCAATACATAGGGTGCATCAATGGAGAATAAATGCAAACAAAGACTCCTCAATGACACTGGTACACAGCAAAATACACCAAAACCACAAAACTTGTATACAAAAACACTACTGGTTGCCTACCCAGTACGGCATATATATCATGCCTTCTTCTGCAATGAACTCAAGAACGCCACAATGAGAAATGCGCTCAGTAGCAGCATTGCGAAGTTCAAACAACATAGGATAATCAATATGAAGAGATGTTGCAGAATAGAGTCTTATATTAGCATTTTAGATGATAATAGGAAAAATTTTTGAATTAACCACAAAAGATAATAAGCCACCATAACAAATTTCAAATAAATCAACTAACCAAGACGGTCATGGGCTGAGGAAGGCATTATAACTGCAACAACATAGTGAAAAGATAAATAAATAAATAAAAATAAAATGAAAAATTAAGACATTTAGAAGGCTAATACATGCACACACAAGTGTTTAGAGTTTGATAACTTACTTTTATCACCATTTTCAATCTGTGGCTGCAGGATTGAAAAGAAACAAATAAATTAGAAATTCGAATATGAATATGAATAAGTAAAAGACAACAAACAATTACAGTCTTTTTCCCCCTTTCCACTGTTTTCCTTTTATATTTTTTATTTTCCGTCTCCCTTTTTTTTTTTTGATGTGGGTGGACACGAAAATGAGTAAAGAAAGACATGAAGGCCTTCAAGGGAAATGAAAGAGCACATATGGTATCATCTTAATTGTTAATTTTCCAGAATTCATTTACATTTACATTTGATTAAAGAGTGCCGTGAATTTGATTGAGGTCATAGAAAAGATGACAAAACATAAAACTGAAACAGTATAATGAATAAAATCAAATTAATTAAGTGAATCAAACAAAACAAAACAAAACAAAACAATTATCATGTTGAGGAAAGCTTTCCTACCTTATCAATAAAAGATGCAGGGTAACATCGATATGTTTGCTCAAATGATGTTCCATGATATCCATATCCATCAAAATACTGCAATGTGTCCCCACCAGTGAAATGAAATGACAGTGATAATGATATAAACAACAACTACAATAATATAGTAATTGTAATAGTTATTAACTATTATTTTTATTTTTATTACAACATCTAATGAAATGAATTTAGACGGTGAACATAATTAAACAATATCTATATATATTGAAATAACTAAATATGCACTGATTTGGGCTGCAAAATATAGTAATTAAAAGTGAAGCAATGAATATAATTCAGACATGTCCATAAACAAATAGTTATCAAATGGAAATTTATAGTAAGGGAAATGTAATACATATAGAAGTTGTATACAGATTGTGCAAAAATCATAAAAGCATTAAACACAAAAGGACAGTTCTCTTTTTCATGCCAATCACAGTTGAAAAATCTAGAAATCCCCTAGATGTTGATTTGTGATTATGTATCAATTTTAAGCAGAATATAACAATCTCAATCAAACAATCAAACAATCAAGACAAAGAGACACAACGATTTTACGTGGAAAAAAACCACAATTGGACACCTCCAACTGTGATCAAAAAACCACGGGCAACGACCACAAAACAATCCACTAAGAAGATTTAAAGGAATTACACAGGTATACTCTCAATTACCTAGCGAATCCACGCCTAATTGAACCAACCTCTATGTGCCTCTTCCAACCCGTCTTCACCTCAGAATTGTCTTTACGATAAGCCACCCCGAAATCCACCAAAGCTTCAGGCTCGAATTCTTCAGAATCCACCGAAGAACAACTCTCTCTTTTGTATAGAAAACAAAACCTTTGATGTACTCTCTTTAAACCATGAGTTCAAGAACTCTTCTCAAAAACATCAAAGAAAACTCCCAAAGTATCCCCAGATATAAACCCTAGAACCCAAAAAGTAGATCTGGAGTAGTAATCCTAAAATCTGACCCAACACGCGAATTTATAGAATCTGTCCCGCGATCTCCGCTCGAGCGCCCAAAAGCCCGCTCGAGCGGCTTCAGCAAAATATGCGCGTGATATAACAGAGGTCCGCTCGAGCACCCAACAGCCCGCTCGAGCGCGAAATCACACGTCTCAGTACTTTTGCAGGCGACCAAAACTGCTGGAACCAGGGATTCTCCGCTCGAGCGGACAGGCAACTTGGAATGCATTTTTGCATTTTGCTTCGGGGGTGCTGCCCCTCGACCCCGCCATGGCGCTGCCCCGGACCCGCCAAGGGGCGCTGCCCCCTAGACCCCCGCGAGCTGACCGGGCAGCTCGATCCCTGTCATAATCAGCGAAGTGGCAATCTTGAAAGCTTTAGCATCATAAACTTCTCTGAAATGCACAATTCAGGTTGGATTCGCATCTAAACACTCATAGCCTTACTGAAATAAAAGTGAGAAAAGAAATACAACTGAAAGGAGTTTTGTCAAACAGGATTGCCAAGAATAAAACCTAACAACAGTGGTTCCCCTCAGAGACCTGACAGACCTATCCTTACCCGTGGCCTTCCAGTACCCAGCCAGAGTCGCTCTGTTCAATCGCTGCCCATTTTGATACTTGCGATCTTTAGGACAGAAAAAGAACCACTCTTCATCGGACGTCTTTATCGCCGATTTATCTGCATAAAAATAGATCAAAGCAAACCCAAAATTAGGGCTTTTTAATCAAGCATATATCAATAATCAAAGCAAAAAACCCAAAATTTTAATTTTTTTAATTTTTTATGTAGGTAGTTTTACCAGGCAAATCCCAGGGTTCGCATTTGCAGACATCAATCTCTCAAATAACACTGACTTGCTTCTCATCGCCGTTGATCTTCAACTTCAGATAGTGATTGATGAGTTCTTCGGTAGGGCGAAATCGGTACCCAACTGGAAGAGACTCCTCTGCCAAAATTTTAGAGAGAGACATCGCTAGAGAGAGAAGATCTAAAAGAAAGGAAAAGTGGGTATGGATTGAAATGAGGAATTAAAAACCTAGAGAGGAATGGATAAACAAATCGAAAGAGAAGATGTATGAGATTCAAAGAAAATTCAGTGGGGTTTCAAAGACGTGGGGTTCGATCTGGAAGGGAGAAAAGATGAAGAGTTGCTGTCGGTGGAGTTCGGAGGCGGCACAACGATGGAAGCGGAGCGGCAGTGGAAAGGAGGGGGAGGGAGAGGAAGAGAGAGAGATCTGAGAAGTTGGAGAGAGAGAGAGAGAGAGAAAGAGAAGTGCAAATAATGTTTGGGTTTGTCGTTCGTGGGTGGGTGGGACGCTGCAGAGAGAGCGAGAGAGGGATTGTTTTGGGTGGGAATGTGAAAATGTCACAAAGCATCTCAGCCTTTAAAGAATAAAAACAAATCATCTCAGCCATTGGATCAAAATGTATCTCACATATATTTTTATACAATTTCAAAAACCTTTCTCCCTTATTATATAGATATCTGTTTTAATTTATATATTATATATTATCTTTATAAATTTATGTGTATTTATTTATATATTATATTTATTGAATTAATGTTATTATGCTATTTTTTTAAGAAAATAATATAAAACAAAAAAATTTTAACAAAAAATTTTTAGAATAAATAGATAAAATTAACAAAAAAAATTTAGAATAAATAGATAAAAAAGTAATAAAAATATTTTAGAATAAATTAAAAAAATTCTAATAAAAGCATGTAATTAGAATATTTTAACATATAATTTTTATTAATTCTTATTTATTTATAACATGTATAGTCCCATAAAAAAATATAATCTTACAATATATTTTTATATATTATTTAAAATATATACAAACGCTCCTAACTAACGATTCTTGAAATGTCTACGATTCTACGCTCTCGCTCCCACTCCCGCTCCGTGCAACTAAGAGGGGCATTTCCCTAAATAAGCTAAAATAGTAAATCAATTCCCAAACTAAGCCTAGTTTTCAAAGAATTCCCAAAATAAGCTAACTCGCGGGTTCATAATCGCGATTTCAACATATTTCCGCCTGTCTCGCGTGAAAGTTGGAAAATCTTAAATTCGTGGTTACAAAAAGCGCTTTCGATTAATAAATCGTGGTTACAAAACGCGATTTTTATTAACTTTTCTTTCCTTTGAACTCGTTGTTACAAACCACGAGTTCATCGAAAAAAAATTATGTTCTGAATTCGCTGTTCGCAACCCCGCTTTTGTGAAAAAAAAATTTGTTCTGAACTCGCTATTTGTAACCACGATTTTATCAATAACCGTTTTCTTTTGAACTTGCTTTTCCAAACCACGATTTTAGCAAAAAGTTTTTGTTCTGAACTCGCTTTTTCTAACCACGAGTTTTGGCCAAATTTTTTTCCATTAAGTGATGTAACAACCCTCACCTTACTCTTGTCATACTTGCATACATCCTTGCATGATCTTGCTTTGTTATGATAATTTGAAGTTTTGTCTTGCCTTGATTTGCTTACAGTTGCTAGCATGATTTTGATCTTTGCTTGGTGTGTGTGTGGCCGAGGTCCTCTTGAGCTTAGTTCGCCTTTGAACCCTTGTACTTAGAACTATTTTGAGACCTTGGTCGACCCCCATCTTCACCTCGGGCATTTATTGCCGAGGTGTTTCGCACTTAGTGAACCTTGTCCTTGGGCAGGTATGGCCTAGGCCGAGATGTGGTACACCCCGGCCAAGGTGTGGCACAGCTTAGTCAAGCGTCGTCCTCCCTAGCCGATGTTTTGTTATCCTGTTGTCGGATCCTTGATTTGAGCCGATGTCATTTGTTGCCGATGTGTTTTACCGAGCTTGCTACATACGCTTTGTCAGAGACTTGTCTCATCAATCAATCACCTTTTGAGCTAAACCAACCCGTTAGCGCCACGTGTCCGAGCTGATTGTTAAGACAGCCGGCAGACCTTGGAACAAATCATTTTCTTGTCTCAAATCTTTGTTTTAGAGAGAGAAGCTCTAGAGAGGAGGAAGAGAAGTTCTTGAGTGAGAGTAAGTCTTCCAAGCTTGATCTTCGTGGTTTGAACCGTTGGATTCGAGTTTTGAGGTTTGAATCTTGATCTACTTTGATTATTGTTGTTGATCAACTAGCTGCATTGCATGATCGAATCCGTTTTGCACGTCATGCACCGTTTTGAAGTTGGTTTTGAAAAGAGAAAATGGGTTTCATGTGTTCTTGAAGAAAGTCTCATTTTGATCCGAAAGTTTGAAACAAAAATCATGTTTTTGTGTTTGTTCTTGCATGACTTTCTTGTGAGGGTACCCAGGTCCATGTTTTGAATTCTTGGCATGAAATCTCTGATTTTGTAACAAGTTTTGATCTTGCATTCATCTTTCTCATGATCATGTTCATCATGTTTTTCATGTTCTTCAAAGGGAAACTCAGGTTTTTCCCGACTTTGTTTGATGAGGCCTTCGGAACCACACCTCGGCAAGGAGGTGTGGGACCTCGGCAAAGACCTGGATGGTACCCAGTGTGTTTTCATGAGACGAGAGCAGTGTTTAAACTCCCAGCATGTTTTGCTTTGATGTGTACTTGGATCTGTTAAGAATGCTGAGATCATTTGCATGCATTTAGAGCTTGTCTTGAGAATGTGATTTGCCATGTGATTGTAGGACCTTGATCTTTGCTTTGAGTCTACACCTGAAGAACTAGGTGAGTGGTATTATTGATAAAGCTATGTTATACTTGTTTTGATAAATCTTGCTTGCTTTGTTTTGACAAAAGTGTTTTGTTAAGCATGAATGAATAGCTCTTGTTTTGACGTGTCAAGTATAAACCTTGTTTTGATGCCATCTTTGAAAAGGATACGGTCCTCTCTTGGGAAGTCCCTTGTACTGAAGGACTCTAAACTTTCGCAGTACTAAGTGCAAAAAGGATACGGTCCTTTTCCTGGAAAGACTACTATGTTAAATCGGGCTACGGGCCTAAGTAACACCAGTCCCTTGTGCTGGAGGACTATAAACTTTCGCAGTACCTTTGACTAAACGATTACGGATCGTACAGCCTTGATACTTGTAATACTTGATTGATGAATACGGTTCATCCCTTACTTCGCCGATGTTGTGATACTTGACTGATGAATACGGTTCATCCCTTGCTTCGCTGATGTTATGATACTTGACTGATGAATACGGTTCATCCCTTGCATCGCTGATGTTATGATACTTGATTGATGAATACGGTTCATCCCTTGCTTCGCCGATGTTATGATACTTGACTGATGAATACGGTTCATCCCTTACTTCGCCGATGTTATGATACTTGACTGATGAATACGGTTCATCCCTTGCTTCGCTGATGTTATGATACTTGATTGATGAATACGGTTCATCCCTTGCTTCGCTGATGTTATGATACTTGACTGATGAATACGGTTCATCCCTTGCTTCGCCGACGTTATGACACTTGATTGATGAATACGGTTCATCCCTTGCTTCGCCGATGTTATGATACTTGACTGATGAATATGGTTCATCCCTTGCTTCGCTGATGTTATGATACTTGATTGATGAATACGGTTCATCCCTTGCTTCGCCGACGTTATGACACTTGATTGATGAATACGGTTCATCCCTTGTCTTGATAAAGTTGATTCGTTTGTTTTGAAAGACTCCGGCTTTATTCATGCAAAACCTTTATTATTAGTACCATTCACTGAGTGTTTATACTCACCCCTCTATATATATGTAGGTGATGAGCAAGACGGCGGCGACGCCTAGATCGTTTGGATGCTTGTTTTGGATTTGTACTTATGTCGGCTTGCTTTTGCATTTACGTCGGCGATGTCTACCTTGCATGTCGGCAAATCTTGAAAATCATGCTTCTTGACTTGTATTAGCTGTATTTTGTATATGTCGGCTCGAGAAGCCTTTTGATCAAGATGTAACATGTAATTTTACCTTGTTGTATTTAAGTTGTGAAGTTAATTGGAATGTTTGGCACTGCTTTAATCTACGCACAGCTCTTATGGACCACTTGTATTTGATTTATTGCTTCCGCATTTGTGAGCCCCCTATATTCGTACTCTGATTGTGTTAAGTTTTGAAAAAGTTGGCCTTCGGTAATTACGGATTACTGGCCATCACGGCACCAAACTACTAGGGGCGGTTTGGGGTCGTGACAACCACGCTCGAGCGTACAAGTTCCTCAGTATACGTTAATCACACACTTTGAGTCCTAAAGAGCATAGGATTTTCCCTAGAAAAGATGTTAGGGTTGCATCATGGTATTTGTTGTTTGAGTGAGGTGTGCATTGTCTTGAAATGCTTATTTGTTGCTTGCCTACGGGGTTATTTGCTTATTTGTTTTAAGTTATACCTTGCACGCTCATAGCATCATGAGGAGAGGTAGACCCCCAATTGGCCGAGATCAGCCCGAAGATAGAATGGATAGACTGGAAAGATTAGTTGAGGGATTGGCCAGCGAGCTAAGGCAAACAAGATAGCAGTTCGCCAGTGCCACGTCGACTCAGGCCGAGCAGACCAACGGCCGAAATGTAGTTCCACCTCCACCTCCTCCAGTGCCATAGGTTCCCCCGCAACCAGCCTTATATGGGGATGGCACGATAGCTTTGATCAGGGAGTTCAAGAAAATGAGACCAGTAGTAGAGTGGTGGCGACGGTGGTAGTAATGGTAGTTGTAGAGGTGGAAT